CCCACTGTATATATATATATATATATATATATGTATATTTTTTGGAGGGGGGGGGCGGGGATAGAAATTAATACTTTTATTTAGCAAGGATGCTTTGAATTGAAGTGATGATAAAGACATTTATAATGTTACAAAATATTTCTATTTCAGATAAATGCTGTTCTTCTGAAATTTCTATTCATCAAAGTAACCTTAAAAAATTCTACGCTGTTTTCAACATAATAATAAATGTTTCTTGAGCAGCAAATCAGAATATTAGAATGATTTCTGAAGGATCATGTGACTGGAGAATACTTTTATTTAGCAAGGATGCTTTGAATTGAAGTGATGATAAAGACATTTATAATGTTACAAAATATTTCTATTTCAGATAAATGCTGTTCTTCTGAAATTTCTATTCATCAGAGAATCCTGAAAAATTCTACTCAGCTGTTTTCAACCTAATAATAATAAAAAATATTTTTGAGCAGCAAATCAGAATATTAGAATGATTTCTGAAGGATCATGTGACTGGAGTAATGATGCTAAAAATTCAGCTTTGAAATTACAGGAATATTTTAAAATATATTAAAATAGAACATTTATTTTAAATAGTAAAAATATTTAACATTTTACTGATTTTGCTGTACTTTGGATCAAATAAATGCAGGCTTGGTGAGCAGAAAAGACTTCTTTAAAAAACATGAAAAATCTTACTGTTCAAGAACGTTTGACTGGTAGTGTGTACACACACACACACACACACACACATGATGTATGTTATGTTTGTCTAATTTGTACAATTTCTAATTGTGTTGGAGGTCCCTCAGTAGGTCATAGAGAAGAGAAGAGGGCCAGCCATGCGTCTGGTGGGCTGACACTCCATCCCTCCAGCATCTTGCAGGGCTGGCAGGCATTGTTTGTGTCTCGCGCCTTGGCTTGAGGCACTAGATTTAGCATCTTGCGGAACTACATGCCAAGGCATGTGTATGCTAAATAGTTTGTTTAGTTTTAGTTAAGTTAGTTAAGTACTGCACCATCCAATCATATTTTAAAGGGGTCATATGATGCGATTTCAATTTTTCCATTCTCTTTGGAGTGTTACAAGCTCTTGGTGCATAAAGAAGATCTGTAAAGTTGCAAAGACTAAAGTCTCAAATCCAAAGAATCGTGAAGCACCTTTATTTTTAAGAGTGTACAATGCCGGCTGTTCTGGCTTACAGACTGTAAATACGTTTTTTACATTTAAAGAATTTGCCACTGATGATTCAAACGCGAGTTTGAGCAGTGTAGACCCCTTTAAAAATAGAATCACCCAGAGCTCTCTGTCAAGCTCGTCCACAAGTTCTTTTCACTGCTGCTCCACTGGTTCCTGCCTCTGGCGTCTGGGTCCCAGAGATCTGTGTCACGGATGCATCAGCCGTGCCCACAGAGCTCCCTTTCTAAGCTGCTTTGGGCCCAGAGATATTGTCAGGGCCACTCCAGAAATCACTGAAATCTCCAGAAATCGCCCCGGAAGATTTCTGATGCTGCTGCTCCAGAACCTGCTGAGGTCAGAGAGGACAGAATCAAAGGAACCACAGAGGTTACTTATAGTGCACATTTTCAGAGCCACCCTGGTCCCAGAGCTTCTTGGCCTGGCCTGCATGTTCCTGCTGCTGCAAGCCCAGAACCCGCTACAGTTCCAGAGCTCTGTGTCATGGCAGCCAGTTGCAAAGTTTATCAGAGGTTCCTGGCATGACAGACTGGGTCACACTAATGCCCGCTGGTGTCCAAGCTGCTGCAGTTCCAGAGCTCCTCTCTTCCCTGGTCCCAGATGTTCAGTTCCAGAGCTCCTCTCTCCCCTGGTCCCAGATGTTCCTACTAAAGCTGCTCTGGCACAAGAGGATTCTGTCAGAGCTGCATCATAGGACCCTCTCACAGCCCCATTGTTCACTGTCATCGGTATGATTCCATATTACACCCGTGTGCCACATTAAAAAGATACACAAAAATGTGTTATTTTAATAGGAAAACATCTGGAAACATTCTTATGCTTCAGTTCTTGAGAGGTAAAGCCTTTTGTTTATATTGATCACTTTGAATGTTAATTTTAATAATAAACTCACCAGGTAAGTAAAACCTGGTAAGTAACAACAAATAAATACAGGATTTAAAGGGGTCTAAGGGAATAAAAATCAGTTGTTTCTATCATTCAGTTGTTTCGTTTAACACTTCTATCGTAAAACAGTTTAGCTGCTGTATACCTTATATCTTACCTCGCATTCTTTCACCAACTGCATCGCGCTGGAATTCATGGGTTTTGTGAACTAGAGGTTGCACCCATACTATTTTCTACTTTTTATATTTTTAACTTTTTAAACTTTTCGTAGTCCTAAAAACACATAGATCCATGCTTTGCAGCATGAAGAATATCAAATATTGGGAACGTGCCCCCCCCCAATGTCTACAGATATTGCGTTAATTTAAACAGTACACAACCATCACATAACAATATCATTCTTTGTCTTTTTATTCAATAGTAAAATCTTCTTTCATTACAATATACTTAACATACTTAATTGTATTTCTGGTTAAAAAAATCACAAGGCACTAAAAATAAAG